AGTCTCAGCCCGGCGTCTGGCACACAGTGGGCCCTCGGAAAGTGATAGGTAGTGCAAAGAGCCCGAACCACCAGCCTGCAGCCCCGCAGGATCCTCTGTTCCTCCCCAGGCCTTGGCTCAGACCTTCTCGCCCTGAAAGAATCCAATATATTTATTCAGTGAAGAGAGGCTCCTTTTTCTTTCTTTCTGAATGGAAAAATACCCCTTTAAAAAATTCAGTGAATGGGGAGCTTCCACTTTGTTTTTCACCCCCTTTCTGTACTGATTCCCCTGTTCTCAATGCTTTGAAATGCCCCCAGGGTTGGGGGGGAGTCTGTTCTGAACAGTCTCTGAAGTCTGGAAGGAGAATCCTTTCAGATAAGCCCTGACTGAGCTCCTCGCCTCCACAGAGCCTACACCCCTCCAGGAGCGCCTTGGAGTCTCTACCTTTGAGATCTCAGGTGTCTGCCGCCAATTACATTTCTGCCCAGCTCCAGAAGCTGCTTAATTAGCCTAATTGCAGGGTTGCGGCAGCAGGCTGCCTGGGGAGGGGTGTTAACCCTGTATTTCCTGGGCACATTGCAGGTTCCCAGGACTCCCGGTGGTCCCTTTAGCAAAGTTTTCTTGCAGTGGCCAGAACCCACTACAGTTTGTTCAGAGTCCCATCTGTCTCAAAACAATACTAATGTAAAAATAATAGTAACATGTACGCACAGCCAAAAATTTTAAATAAGAAGTGGTATCAGTTGAATGCTATGTACAGTTCATTACATGTTTTACATAGATATATTCACCCATATGTCTAGTCCATTTATTTTGCACAAATGAAATTATACAATATATATGCATAGGTGACCTGCCTTGGTGGCTGAAAGGTACACCTTGTCTTTAATGTCTACACTTTAGAGTCAACTGTTCTTTCTTATAAAGCTACGTCATAGTCAATAGGAGGGACATGTCATAATTCATTTAATGAGCTTCCTATTATGAAACACTTAGGGTGCTTCCAGATTTGTGCCAGGCATCCCCCCCCCCCCCCCCGTCCCTGCCCCAATAACATGCAAAGAAACAAATGAAACATGGAAACATCCCTGATCTGGTGGTGGTACAGCGAGTGTTGTCTGGACCAATCAGAAGGCAGTAGGCAGTGAGAGGGAGCAGGGTCCTGGGGTTCCCCAGGGGAACCAGTGTTAACCCTTTAGTTGCTGGATCCTGGGACTCCCCAGATGGCTCCAGGGAAAGGCCAAGGCAACCTGGGGGGGGGGGGGTGGACTGATGGGCTAGGGGAAGCAGCTTTTGACCATCAGTATAGAAACCCTCCTGTATCTTAACGTCAATGTTTCTCCTGGTCATCCTTGTTGACTATCATCCCTGTTTGAGTATATCCACAGATTTCTAACTCTAGAATTCCTGGGTCAAACAATATGAACACTTCATCTCAATTATCAAACTTTATCCCTATTATCAAGCTTTTCTTAGGAGTATTTTCTTGTGCGGAATTTAAAAAATAATATTAATAGATGATATTTATGAGAGCCAGGCACCTGACTGGCTACATCTGATAGCCTGCAATCTCCCCAAGAGCGCTATGCGGCTGGTATTTTTACCACACCCCTTCACAGGTGGGGAAACTGAGACTGACGTGAATCACATAGCAAGCCAGCGGTGATGCTGGGTTTCAAACCTGTTTCCATAGGACCCTGCAGGGACCACTCCGTTGACTTTCTCCATCCTAAGGAGACGTGAAGAGGAGAGGGAGGCCCACAGTTCTGGCCTCGCGGGGTCGTGAGCTCACGCAGACACAACACACAGCCAGGTGCAGATGGAGATAAGATGCTGTGATGAGACCTGTTCCCCATTCCCTCTTGCACGGAAGTACAGAGTCTGCACATTCTGGATGGTCTCTGTTTTCACTCTCTTCTGTCTCTATTCCCTTTCTGCCAGACTCAAGGGTCTCTGCTTGTCGCTGAAGAATTGAGCCCACTTTCCTTGTTGAGCACAGTGATACCAAGGAAGTCCAGCGTCACCTTCTCTGGGAAGCCTCCCCCGTCTCCCTCCTGGTGGTCTGTCCCTGATCCCCCAACCCTTGTAGTAACCATGATCTCTGAACGCAGTGCCTTGTTTTCCTGGTTATCTGTCCCCACCATGGTCTATGAACCTCTGAAGGCAGCCAGCCATGTTCTGTGAACCAACTACATATCTAACATCTACCACTCGCGTGGCACTGACATCCTTCGCACTTAGCGAAGCGATGAACAAGTCTGGGAGGCCTTCACTTAAAGGAGCATCCAGGGCAGCATGTGTGTGTCTTCATCCTCCACGACCAGAGGTGGGCTGGGGGGTAAAGGAGGGACTGGGAATGTGCTCCTTCCCCAGCTGATCTCAGACGCCGGCTTCAGACACTCTCTGGGAGTCACGCGGTGTCCAGCATTACTGGAACTCACTCCTAGCGTCATCAGCGCTGGCTCCACCCCTGGAGTCCATGCTTTTTTCTTCCTTCTCCTTCGTGTTCAGTCTACTTTCACTGGCTCGCAGAGGCCGCATGGAGAGGCCTCGCACCTGGAGCTTCAGGCCCTTCGGCAGGGTGGCTGTGTGAGGAGCACTTCACTGGACTCCCCAAAAAATTTTTAAATAATTTGTAAGTAAGAAAAATATATTAGAAAACTCCGGGAGTTGGTGATGGACAGGGAGGCCTGGCGTGCTGAAGTCCGTGGGGTTGCAAGGAGTCAGACATGACTGAGTGACTGAAGAGAAGTAAGAAAAACTGTGAAAGAAACTTTTTTCTTCACTTCCCCGGTTCCCTGGCTTAAATTGTATGAGAAGTTTGAGGTTATTGTGCTGTCCCTTATAGCTTTAAAATTTTCTTATATTACATTGGTGAATCATACTGTTCATGGGGTTCTCAAGGCAGGAATACTGAATTGGTTTTTCATTCCCTTCTCTAGTGGACCACATTTTGTCAGAACTCTCCACTATGACCCGTCCATCTTGGGTGGCCCTACACAGCATGGCTCATAGTTTCATTGAGTTAGACAAGGCTGCGGTCCATGTGATCAGATTGTTAGTTTTCTGTGATTGTGGTTTTCAGTCTGTGTGCCCTCTGATGGAGAAAGACAAGAGGCTTCTAAAAGCTTCCTGATGGGATAGACCAACTGAGGGGGATACTGGGTCTTGTTCGGATGGGCGGAGTCATGCTCAGTATATCTTTAATCCCATTTTCTGTTGATGGGTGGAGCTGTGCTCCCTCCCTGCTATTTACCTCGGGGGGCCAAACTATGGTGGAGGTAATGAAGATAATGGTGACCTCCCTCAAAAGGTCCCATGCATGTACTGCCACAGTCCCTGCCCCTAATCCTGCAGCAGCCCACCCCCGACCCACGCCTCTGCCGGAGACTCCCAGACACCCACAGGCAAGCCTCCTGTGGGGTCACTGTTCCTTTCCCCTGGGTCCTGGTGCACAAGGTCTGTTGTGCCCTCCAAGAGTCTGTTCCCCAGTCCTGTGTAAGTTCTGGCAGTTCTGGTGGGGTTAATGGTGACCTCCTCCAAGAGGACTTATGCCATACCCACACCCAGAGCCCCTGTCCCTGCGGCAGACCACTGCCGAGCCGTACCTCCACAGGAGACGCTCAAACACAGTTCTGTCTCAGTCTCTGTGGGGTCCCTGAGTCCTGGTGCGCACAAGGTTTGTTTGAGCCCTCTGAGTGTCTCTGGAGGGAATGGGGTTTGATTTAAAGGCAAATTCGCACATCCTACCATCTTGCTGGGGATTCTCCTTTGCCCTTGGATGTGGGGTATCTCCTCACGGCTGCTGCTCCTGACCTTGGACATGGGGTATCTCCTCTCGGCCGCTCACCGCTCCAGTGTTGTGCAGCCATCGCTCGCCGTGATTCCTTATATTGACAAAGGAGGCAAGAATATACAATGGGGAAAAGACAGCCTCTTCAATAAATGGTGCTGGTTCCAAATAGGAAAAGGAGTATGTCAAGGCTGTATGTTGTCACCATGCTTATTTAACTTATATGCAGAGTACATCATGAGAAACGCTGGGCTGGATGAAGCACAAGCTAGAATCAAGATTTCCAGGAGAAATATCAATAACCTCAGATATGCAGATGACATCACCCTTACGGCAGAAAGTGAAGAACTAAAGACCGTCTTGATGAAAGTGAGAGAGGAGAGTGAAAAAGTTGGCTTAAAGTTTAACATTCAGAAAACAAAGATCATGGCACCTGGTCCCATCACTTCATGGCAAATAGATGGAGAAACAGTGGAAAGAGTGGCAGACTTTATTTTTGGGGGCTCTAAAATCACTGCAGATGTTAACTCCAGCCATGAAATTAAAAGACACTTACTCCTTGGAAGAAAAGTTATGACCAACCTAGACAGCATATTAAAAAGCAGAGACATTACTTTGCCAACAAAGGTCCATCTAGTCAAGGGTATGATTTTTCTAGTAGTCCTGTATGGATGTGAGAGTTGGACTATAAAGAAAGCTGAGTGCTGAAGAATTGATGTTTTTGAACTGTGGTGCTGGAGAAGACTTTTGAGAGTCCCTTGGACTGCAAGGAGATCCAACCAGTCCATCCTAAAGGAAATCAGTCCTGAATGTTCATTGGAAGGATTGATGTTGAAGCTGAAACTCCAATACTTTGGCCACCTGATGCAAAGAGCTGACTCATTGGAGAAGACCCTGATGCTGGGAAAGATTGAAGGCAAGAGGAGAAGGGGATGACAGAGGATGAGATGGTTGGATGGCATCACCGACTCAATGGACATGAGTTTGAGTAAACTCTGGGAGTTGGTGATAGACAGGGAGGCCTGGCATGCTGCAGTCCATGGGGTCGCAAAGAGTTGGACAGGACTGAGTGACTGAACTGAACTGAACTGTTGAATCATGTACTGATTTCATTATTGTAGATAATCCAGTTACATATTAAGTGTTAATAGTTGCTTGGTATTTTACAACCTCAACTGAAGTTATAAAGTAAGTATTCTACAAACCTCCTGACAGTTCCTTGAAGATGGAGCTGGCCTGGCGTTTAGTCCTTATTGTACTTTTAAGTTTTTCTTGCTGGGGTTTAGACTGGGACTCTGATAAAAATTTCATCTCAGCTGCTGGTCCTCTAACCAACAACTTGTTACACAACCTGAGGGATCCCCTGGGAAACCAGGATTCAGCCTTTGTAGCAAAAGATGAAGAAATTTATGTTTGTCGCCAGCCACTGCCTGCATTCCTGCCAGAGTACTTTAGGAGTGTCCGTGCCAGTATGATCACCCATTACAAAGTATTTCTGCCATGGGCACAACTTCTCCCAGAAGGAATCTCGGAGAACCCAGACAAGGATACAGTGCTGTGCTATCGGCAACTGCTTGAGGCTCTCAAGAATGCTAAGCTTCAGCCCCTGGTGGTTCTACACCACCAGACCCTCCCTGCCAGCACTCTCCAGAGAACTGAGGCCTTTGCCGACCTGTTTGCTGCCTATGCCTCCTTCGCCTTCCACTCCTTTGGGGACTTAGTTGAGATCTGGTTCACTTTTAGTGACTTGGAGAAAGTGATCACGAAGCTTCCCCACCAGGAATCAAGATCTTCACGTCTGCAGATCCTCACTGATGCCCACAGAAAAGCCTATGAGATTTACCATGAAAAATATGCTTCTCAAGGTGAGTTCACACAACCCTGATGACTGATCCACCGGCAGCCTTCATCATCCACCTTCATCCATCCTTCTTAAAGTAGGACCCAGCATTTCTTTCCACTTACTTTCGACAGTCCTCTCATACCTATTTATAAGTGAGAAATTAATACCATCCTGAAGATTTCTCGGTGGCGGTAGGTAAGGGCAGCTTGTATTGTATCATGCCCAACATCCCCTTTAAAAAACATCTTTAAACCCTCCTTACCTAGTCTTGAGTTTACATTATTATCAATTATCTTTCTGTCTTTCCTTCTTCAGTCTTGCCTCCCTGACTCTCCCTAGGATTTCAAGATTGCCCATTCTCTCTCAGCCTCTTCTTTCTTTTTTACATTTTAATTTATATATTTTTGGACCATGCTGCATGGCTTAGGAGAACTTAGTTCCCCAACGAGGGGTCAAAACCATGCCCCCTGCAATGGAAGCTCAGAGTCCTAACCGCTGGACCACCAGAGAAACCCTGAGCCTCCCCATTTTTCTTAAGTAAAGCGAACTACATGTTCCAGTTGAAGCCTATATTCCAGCAGCGGAGACAAATACAAGATAAAATAATGATATGCTGATGGATAGTGAGAAGAGCATGATTACAATTGTCCATATTCCTGTTCATAGCTAATTTAAGCTTCCAATTCAGTAGGTCTGGACAGACTCAGGACATTGATTTTAATATATTCCCTAGATGAATCTGAGGTATACCAATTTTGAGAACCAATTAGATTGGATTAATTAGATTAATTGGATTAGATATGCTTTCTAGTTTTTATTATATACAGTATATTTATATATCTGTATACTTGTATATTCTACTTTTTTTAATTTATTTTTAATCAGAAGATAATTGCTTTACAATTTTGTTCTGGTTTCTGCCATACAACAACATGAATCCGCAATAAGTACACAAATTCCCCCTCCCTCTTAAACTTCCCTCCCACACCCTATTCTACTTTTGAAACTTAACATATTTAATTAATAGATTCTCATTTTAATAAAAACTCTTTGAAAGTATGATTATCAGTGTTCTTACATGTTCACATTATATTGATGGCTCATTTAAGATATTTCATTTTTACATATTAGTTTAATTTTCACAATTAAAAATTATGTTGCAATGAACATATGTATAAATGCCTGCCTTCAGATAAATTCTTTCTGACAGATTCCTTTAAAAAAAAAAGAATTACATGGCTGTGCCGAGTCTTCACTGCTGCACATGGGCTTTCTCTAGTTGCACAACGTGAAGCGCAGGCTTCTCATCGCAGCGCCCTCTCTGTTGCCACTCCCAGGCTCTATGCTTGAGGGCTTCAGTAGTTACGGGGCATGGGCTTAGCTGCCCCATGGCATGGGGGATCTTCCTGGACCAGAGAGCAAATCTGTGTCCCCTGTTTCGGCAGGCAGATTCTTTAGCACTGAGCCACCAGGGAAGCCCTCTGAGATTCTTGAAACTGAAATTACTAGGTCAGAAGATGCGCATTCTTTAAGACTTCAAAGAATGTTCCTAAATTACTTTCCAGAAAAGTTGTAACTTTATACTAACAATTACAAAATTGTTCTTCTGACCTTCTCAGCCTGTTTTCAGTGATGTAATTGTTTTATCATTGGTGTAGACAGAAACAGTTGATAAACCGATCTGTAATAAAAATAGAAAAGAGTTTTATTCAAGCCAAATGAGGACTATATCTTTGGAAAGAGCCTCTCAGAAAGCTCTGAGGAACTCCTCAAGAAAAATATGGTCTTAAGCACAGTTTTATATTTCGTCAGAAAAAAGAACATCAACCACGACAGGGGTACATTCCTGCAAAGTTTTGAAAAAAGACAGATTAGTATGTGCACAGAGAGTGTGTAATTCTCGCCACCCGGGAAGGAAGCCTTATTATCAAAGGTGTACTAACACTGATGTCCCAGGAAAAAGGCATTCACCTCTATCTTCACAACAGACATTCTTTACTTCTGGACAATGCATCTTCTTTAACGGTTAAAGCACATGGACAATGTATGTTTAATAGACTACAAAATAGGATGTTCTAGTTAGCAAAAAGTTTATGTTAAATCATGTATAAGCTGGAATGACTTCCCCAGGTCTCAGTATGTAAAAATTTTCTTCCACCATTGGTAATTTGATGGCTGAGAACTATTATCTCCTTATATTCTTTATTTGCATGTGTTCAATTATAGAGAGGTTAAACATTTTTTCTGTGTTTAAAACAAAATCAGGGCAAGGGAAGAAACAGTGGGAGTGTGGTTGGGGCTATTTTAGATATGATTGTCAAAAAGGCTGTCCTTGGACCACCTTTTTAGCCTAGTGGAAGGAGGGAGAGAGAAACCATAGGATCTGGAGGATTACACAGCTTTGAGTGAGAGAACAACCCTGCCGAGGGAACCACAAAAGCCCGGCTGCTGGTTTTATAAACTGCAGAGCAAGGGAGAAGAGGAGATGCCGGATTTGAAACCGGTTTCTTTAAAAGCCTATCATGGGATGAGTGAGAAAAGAAATAAATATTTATTGACTGTAATTCTACTGAAGAAGCTTTGAGTAAAATGAACTTTGAAAGAAGGCAAAGCTAGACATGGATCATCTGAAGCTGAACAAAATCTGTCTTATTTTGAGGACTAATTCCATAGAATTATTTTATTTTTTTCCCATAGAATTATTTTAAATTATAAAGCTATATATACATGTTTGTTAAAATGTTCTACATATTTCATTTTTGATCTTCATCAGGTTACTAAAGACTGTTTCTTTCTTAAACTCATATTTGCCTTCTTTTCTTCTGCTCATTCCTCCCAGCCTTCATTTCATGTTTTATCAACATCATTAGATTGTCTGTCCCTGATATAATGCGGGACACAAAGTAAATTCTCTTCTCAGTCTCTTTACTATTCAAAAAAGCAGTTTTCCATCTTCCTTTCTCTGTCTCATTCATCCCCCGCCTTTTTAATCCAGTTCCATAACTTTGCTGTTCTTTGTAAAATACATTTTTAATATACCCAAAAAAGTTACATATGCTGATTAAAAGCAAAATATAACTTTTCAAGGACAGAGATATTGAATAATATCCCCTGAACTGAAAAGAAATTTTGAGACCAAAAAGTGAAGCAGGCAACTCCATAAAGTGTAGTTATGGGGTTTATTGTGGGTAACTTACATATGGGTTGGATCGGTGATCTGGAAGCATTTGCAGCTGCCTTCCCCACTGCTGGGCTTCCCTGATAGCTCAGGTGGTAAAGAATCCGTCTGCAATACAGGAGACCCTGGTTCAATCCCTGGGTCAGGAAGATCCCCTGGAGAAGGGATAGGTTGCCCCACTCCAGTATTGTTGGGCTTCCCTTGTGGTTCAGCTGGTAAAAAATCCACCTGCAATGCAGGACACCTGGGTTCGATCCCTGGGTTGGGAAGATCCCCTGGAGAAAGGAAAGGCTACCCATTCCAGTATTCTGGCCTGGAGAATTCCATGAACCGTATAGCCCATGGACACGACAAAATGTCGGACACAACTGAGCGACTTTCACTTCCCCACTGCCAAAAGTGGTACGGGGAATTTAAAGGGGCCAAAGCTAAAAATACAATCTGACTACTAAGGGAGTAGCACATTTGCACCAATGGGAGCCGGGGTTTTTCCTCCCCCTTGGGGTCTCATGACTATTTTTCCTTGTGGACCATTAACTGTCTGTGTCAGTTGAAGAGCATTCTCCCAGTTCTTGCATCAGATGAAGACAAGGGTAAAAGTTGATAGGAAACTTATCTGGCTTGGGTGCATTTCTTGTGAGTACACCAGAGCTCAGTCACACAGGAAGGGAGGTTGGTAGGACTGCAGGCCTAAGAAGGAGCTGACAAAATGGAGTCAGTGTGATTCAGCCACACCATAGTTAACATCCATGAAGTGACCACTCAGTCCAGCAATTAAGCTATAACAATACTGTGATGGTTTTGTAACATATAGAAATACTGAATTACTACTTATACACATAGAATAACAGTGTTGTAGGTCAATTATGCTTCAACTTTTTTAAAGCAATAAAACAGCAAAAAATGAAATTATATGTACAATATAATATCTCCTAGGTAGATACCCAAGAGAAATAAAAGCAAATGTCAAGGCAAAAATATTTGTATCACAAATATTCATAGCAGTATTATTCATAATAACCAAAAGTGGAAATAACCCTAATGTCCATCAATTGATGGATAAACAAAAAGTGGCATACTAGTAAAATGGAATATTACTCAGCACTTGAAAGGAGTGATGTATTGATTCATGCTACAATATGATAATTCTTGAAGACATTATGCTAAGTGAAAGCAGCCAGCCCCAAAAGACCATATATTATATAATTTCATTGATATTAAATGTCCAGAGTAGAAAAATCTATAGTAGAGACACTGAAGTAGAGCAGTGATATCTGGGGCTAGAAGAGAGAATGGGAACTGACTGCCAGTGGGTATGTAACATCTTTCTGGGTGACTAAAGTGTCCCAGAATTAGCACAGAGAGTTGCACAGCTTTGTAAATGTACTAAAGATAACAAAATTTTATAGTTTAAAAGGATGTATTTTATAGTATATGAATTATGCCTCAATTTTAATGTAAAAATTAGAAAGTTGAGGGTTTATAAGACAAAACAAACCATATCACAACTTTTGTCTACTTGTATGTTTTTCCCTATCTCATCTCCCATTCTCCCCACTCCATCCCAGGTTGGCACTGTGCTAAATATTCCACCCATCTTGCATTAGACTATGGCTTCCCCCTCCCACATTTGGAGTCACAATGGATGTACAAGGTCAAGCATTTCAAATAAAATAATTAATTACAGGAAAAGTGGCTTTTTACTAAATATATTTCAGCCAAGAAATCACCATGTTTAAAAAATATGTTTAAAAATTAAATTCCCATTTATTGATGATTAGAAAATAAACAATCTGAAATGAAGTTCTGATTTTTTTCTAACGAATTTTTTATCAGGGTATGAG